GGCCTGCTGTGTTCATCCAGCTCTACATCTTGTTATCTCAGCCTCTTTTTGCTACTGGTTTTTTGCATAGGCCTGCGCACATGGGAAAACATGGCATTAGACTGGAGGACATTTCTTGGGTAACTATCCAGGTAACGACTGTGGAAATGTCTGAAATCTCCAACTATAGATCAGAGGCAGATACATTCACCGATGGCCCTGGGGAGCAGGGGAATTGCCCAGTGGAAGTTGAAATATTTCAGACAGTCCCAATGCAAGTCCATGCATCAGGGCTTCCCACAGGGTTCTAAAGCACATCCTCAGGCACGCGTCCAGCCTCCAACCATCAGCAGACTGGAACATTTGGCCTCATGGCAGCTTGTGTGTTTTTTCTATCTCCTTTAGAAATTCCTAGGTCTACATTTGTAATGGGAACTTGCTGTGTAAACATGTCACTGTATTGTCATTGTCCTACCAGGCAGTCTCAATTTAACGGCCTGGCCTCACGTTTTATATATTCACTCTTGGGATGTTATCGTGGCTGACAAGGCCAGCATTTCATTCCCAATTCCTAAACTGCCCTTGAGAAAATGGATGTGAGCTTCCCTTTTGAATATAACCGAGTGGTTTGTTAGAACGTTTTAGCTGGCAGTTAAGCATCAACTAATTGCCTATAAGTCTGGAGTCACATATAGTAATATCTCCTTAACCAATGTCAAGATAAAATTTCCATCCCTATGAAAAGATTAGATTGAAATTTACAACAATTTGGTAGCTAATAATCCTAGACTTTATGCCAAATTTATTTAGAACAGAAACTTGTACAAATATACATGGAACACAGTTCCTTGTCTGCATTGGTTTAAATAAAAATCTCCCCATTTCTTTCAGGTTCTCTCTTCCTTTTCCCACAATGAAGAAGTTTAAGTTTCACAATTCATCCTGGTATTTTGCAATAATTCTTCATCAACTGGTTACTAGAGGGCACGCCGCTGGTGATTTCTTAACTCCTTGAATTTTCCTCTTATTTTCTCAGGAAGCCTTTGACCTCTGTGGATGCTTTCACTAGGATACACGCAAATACAAGGGTGCGCTTGTGTTGGATTAGGAACCCCACATATTTTTCCATATTCTGCCACCCTGTGCTCAGTTTCCCCTCAGGGTGATAGCGAGTGGGTATGTGGAGAGTAGAACAACTTACTGTCTAATAGCCTGTCCAGCTCAATCTTTTCAGGCAATCTTCTCCCCTGGTTCCCAAGAATCTTCAACAGATTCTCCAGGAGGAGTATATCAAGGAGTCTCTTGTCAGCATTTGTCCTCACCTGCAAGGAAGTATATGTTAATTACCAGGCTATGAAGGTGCTTACTACTACATTACTGTAAACTGCTGATGCACCTTCATCTCATTTCCATCACTCATTTCACAATTGCATTGATTGCACCTTTCCCCATACAAAGATAATCCTAACCCAGCCAAAGCTAATTCCAACTCAACACCTTTAGGCTTCTTCAGACTGTACCCATCATGTCACCTGAAACTGCCAAAGGAGGTGGGGCCAAAATTGGATCTTGGCATTGGTTCTGAAGAAATTTCTGCATCTTTTCATCCCCTTCCAACAGTCTGTGGAAGGGAATACGAGAACATGAGGTGGTCAGCAAGTCCCTTTAGCCTGTTTGCATATCTACTTCAGGAAGACGTTAGCTCTTTGGACAGGCTGCAGAGGAGGTTCTCTAGATTATTCTCTGAATGAGCAATTTCAGTAACATGAGAAATGAAAAATAAAAGAACTATGGATGCTGTCTATCAGGAACAAAAACAGAAGTTGCTGGAAAAGCTCAGCAGGTCTGG